TGCTAATTAGATAGCTGCTTGATTTCAGCCAAACTTTAGTCATGGCTAGCTTACACAAATTTGGTTTATGTCAACGTTGTCCGGTGTTGCTCTGGTATATTTATGGAGATCAGTCTTGTTCCCTCTCAGCTTTTGTTTTGCTGAGCTATCTAAATCCAACTTTTATTAAAAAGTCACTTCTCATAAGGTAGACTTTTCACTCTTTTAATCACCTTTCCCAGTCTGGATTTGTCATCTTTGACTAAGAGTGAGCTGAACTGTGTGTAGCTTTTCAGACAAAGTTTTACTAACCCCTTGTTAGTATTAATGATTTTCTGTCTGTATTGAAACTGCGCATCCTAGGACTAACTACTGTGTTACACAGGCTTATACCGTTCTTCTGACTGTCAGACAAAACAAAGCTTATGTTTTATTCCAGCTGATGAATTCCAGACATCTAGCAGATATTTAGTTATATTCTCAAATTGTGAGATTTTATGACTTGTGTTGTTAAATGTCATCCTATATTATTACTACGGTCTTCGCTGTGCTGCTTTGATTCTCCTGTGTCAGCGTATTTCTTTAATGCATTCCTCTTTTACATACTGAGTTATTAATTAAATTACTTGAAAGATCACTTAATCTAATCTCTTCAAGAAATGCCACTGCTCTCTTCCTTTGAAAAAATCCTTGCACGGATGTTGAAATTTGCCAGCACTATGCATTCCAGTCAGTTGTTGCAAGCATCTCTGTGATTAGCGTTTGGGTACGTCTGCCTTGCACTCGCTGCAGGCATTCACAAGTTACCTTGTACTTATTGCAGTGGAGTTAATGGCAGCAAAGGATTCCCAGCATTTGCCTGCAAAGGCAGACTGGGGAGCTGAGAAAGTACAGGTTAGTTAACCTGTGTCAAACTTTGTCACAGCTGCACTGCTAGCAGTATCCAAGCTGTTTGAAGGGCATCCTTGGACAAACTTGTATGTCACTGCAGTCATAACATTAAGTTCTGTAGGCTTTAGTGATCTCGGACATGAACTGGAGAGAATATATCAAAATAAAATATAAATTGACATATCAAAATTGACAGAACGTGTGAGGGTGCCACGAAATAATGGTTTCTTCATGCTGTGTTATAAACAGCAAGTGTTTGTCCTCCTAGAGCACTGTGTGCGTAATGGTTTCTTCATGCTGTGTTATAAACAGCGTTTGTCCTCCTAGAGCACTGTGTGCAATGGCCGAGAAGTGAAAGACTTGATATTATTTACTAGGAGGAGCAGGTAGTCTCTGTTCTATTAGGTGCTCAGATTTACAGTAGGTTTTCCTGTTCTTGTTTTGGTTTGATTATGTGCTTTGTAAAAAACTGTTTCTTGCTGTTTCAGCTTCCCAATCTGTTGTTCTATGGCCCACCTGGAACTGGAAAGACTTCCACTATTTTAGCAGCTGCTAGAGAGCTCTATGGGTAAGCTGGAATCAAGTTGCTTTGGTGTAACGGACTATCACATGTCTTCTAATCGTGTGACAGTGTGCCAGTGGTCATTGCCTGTTTTTGTGAAGCTTCTAGGTCTTTTTCAGGAATAGCTTCGCATTCTAGTTCAGCTCTAATGTGAGATTGTTTCTTATTTGCTCTGTCACAAATCATGGATTTATGTTACCAGTATAGACTTACAACACTTGAGACTACCAGCCATGTAACCCTATAGCAAAGAGTATGAAAAGAAATGCATTACTGAGCTTTGTAAAGGAATTCCAATTTTAACGGTATATTCAGTTAGTTGTTAGCTACAAATAGATCTCAAAGCACTTCTTAAAATGTCTGTATGGTAATCTTTTTGTTTATGCACTGTTGAATTGTGTGTGGAAGTAATACTGGGAGTCAGACTAAAATTCAGCTCGAGTACCTTCATGAACTCCTGTGTAACACTTGGGAGTTATTGAGTAGTGAGTTCAGTGACCCATGAGCAAAAAAACAGATGAGAAGGTGGTTTGTTGTTATGAGCAAATCTAATATCGACTTTCCCTGCCCCCATTGTCATGTTTAATTTTTGGCTTGTGTTCTTTTTTGGAAAGAACCACTTCTTGTTTAATAGTAGGAAGACAACTCTACATTGTGCGTCCATTTGGATTCCTGGAACTTAAAATCCACTGTATTTTTTTTTTAAATCAGGGGTGCTGCTGCGGTATAGTACTGCTGCTGAATACTGCCTGTATTATACTTTCTAAATATTTCTTTCTGGTGGTAGTACAATGGCAGAGCATTGCCAGTGATTGTCTTTGGGCATTTCACTTGTTTCTTCCACATTGCTCACAGCATGTAAGTAGAAAAGCATATAACATAGTGCTCTGAAGTTATGAAGCCTAATTCCTGCTTTTTTTTTCTGGATAACTGATGTAATACACTTCACTATTTTCTGTAGTTTGGGAGGCAATTGTAAAAATAGCTAATGAAAATTCATACCTAACATTTAATGATCTTAATTTATCTGTCTTTTAACAAAGTATGCTATGTTGGCAAAACTAATGCCTGCCATTCAAAAAGGCCAGAAGGACTGTTGATACCCTTTATAACATATCATTATAAGAGCTAGTGGCTAACATGTAACAAAAAATTTGCAGGCCTGAATTGTTCCGGCAAAGAGTCCTTGAGTTAAATGCTTCTGATGAGCGTGGAATACAAGTGATTCGGGAAAAGGTGAAGGCATTTGCTCAGCTGACTGCATCTGGAAGCCGTTCAGAGTAAGTGCTGGATCAAAGCTCTCTCTGTTTGATGGACTTTCTCGCTTAGGACAGAATGTGGTGTTGGTTTTAACTTTATAATTCTAATATAAATGATGGGTCAGCATTGCCCAGAAGTTTGCAACACACCCAGTGCTTTGGCTAAGCTTTCACTTCATGCAATTTCATGTTGAGAGTTTGAGTACCTGGGAGGAACTTTTACTAATGCTGTTAGAGAGGGGCAGATGGAGAAGACCCAAGGATCAAGCCTTCTGGATTTGGTGATATGTTGTTGTCTGACTACCACAGAAAAGCTGCTTTGGGTGAACTGTGGTGAAAATTATTTCTCTAGTACCTCTAATCTGCAGCATCTCATACAAGATGGGTGCTGGTTTATCAGATGCTAGTAAGAATCTGGTATTAGGTGGTGAGAAACCCTGGGGAGATGAAGCTGTGTGTGTGGAAAAGACAGATTGTGGAAAGTAGCAGGAAAAAACTGCACGCTAGGACTGTCTGGCAATAAATGGTCTGATGTACTGAAGTTAGTCTGTTGCAGTGTTCTTTAAACTTCAGGAAACCAGGAAGCCTATAAAAAGAAACTTAAAGCAAAAGTACATATTTTAGAGGACTTTTGCAGTAGTCAAATGTCACGTCTTTCTATGGGAACTGAGTTCCCCCCTTTATTACAAATACTAGTCCTTATTTAAAAATAATCAGAAAGATTGAACCTCTGAATATGTTCTGTTTATCAGGTACAATTACTTAAGTAAAATATGACTTGCTATTTGCAGTGATTTTTTTTTTTTACCTCAGTCTAGACATTGCATGTCTCCTGGATAACAGACTTCTTATTTTCCAGTGGTAAAGCTTGTCCTCCTTTTAAAATTGTAATTCTGGATGAAGCGGACTCTATGACTTCGGCAGCCCAGGCAGCCTTGAGGCGCACAATGGAAAAAGAATCCAAAACAACACGTTTTTGCCTAATCTGTAACTACATCAGCAGGTGTGTGGAGGATTTGTTCCTTATTTGGACTTGTTGCTCTTACTATTCTCTACTTTTTTTTTTCCTTCAGAGAGGTTCATACCTGGTTTTCATAGTTTTGAGTTAATAAGGATGTAACTGTGTGAATACAAGACTGAAGACAATGTTTAGGCATCAACTTTTATTCTTTACAATGTTGTAGTTTTAAGGTTATGCAGCCCTTTTCTGCCTTGATAGCTTTGTCTGAATGAACTTGACCCGTGCATTCATATATGAAGCATTTGCTGTCCTTTCTTTCAGAATAATTGAACCTTTAACATCCCGATGCTCCAAATTCCGCTTCAAGCCTTTATCAGACAAAATCCAACAGCAGAGGCTGTTGGACGTTGCTGAGAAGGAACATGTGAAAATCAGTAGTGAGGTAACGTAATGGTTATCATGGAATTTTATTGCTTAATCCAGTGTATAATTACATTACAGTGAAAGATGCTAAGTCAGCATACTTTTCCAGACTGCTCAGTTATATTAAATACAATCTATAAACTCATGCAGATATTATTCTCCTTCCATAGACGGGATGAATTTTAAGAGTCTTCCTAAAACCACAGAAATGTCTGCCAGAGAAGACTGAAGCAAAACTGTAGGGTTATTTGTTCTGTGCTGAGTAGACTTGCATGAAACCATGCTTCATTCTGAAATTGCCAGCACATGTTTATATGAGTATAGAGGTTGCTTTGTAACTTGTCCTGGTTTACTGGGATAGAATTTTAAAGTCAGTTTTTTGCTGTGCAGAATAAGGACAACAACACTTCGTTTTGTTCATGGGAACAAGGTGATGAGACTGGTGAAGGTTTCAGCTGAAGCTGGTGTGCAATGCTCAAGGTCTTCAGTGGTCTTGAGATAAACAGGTGTAGAGGCTGGGGGAAGTGGAAACCCAGGGTAATTGACCCCAAGCTCCAGGCTGACCCATTAGTACTATTCCATACCATAAATGTCACATTCTCTATAAACTGGGGAGTTTGCTGGGGACGACTTCTTCCTTTTCCACATCTTGAGAGGGATTTGTTTACTGCCTTACCCCGAGGCCTACTTCCCCACAATATTGGCTGAGTAGAACTGTGTACTTCCTATTATAACTGTTATTAGTTTTCAAAAATTATTATTTTATTAAATACATTTATATTTCAACCCATGAATCTCTTTTCCTTTTCCCATCCCCTATCCCTGGGTGGGGAAGAGACACTGAGTGACAGAGGAAGTGTATAAACAACAACAGTTGTATCTCGTGCCTGACAGTCTGCTTTGGGCACTACTCGATGTTTTAAAAGCAGTGTGTTGAGAAAGTGTACTGAATTTAGTGAACAGTGAAAATATAACTTGGCATTTTCTGACATAATTTTCAGGCAATATCTTACCTTGTTAAAGTGTCAGAAGGGGACTTAAGAAAAGCAATTACTTTTCTTCAAAGTGCCACTCGCCTAATGGGTGGAAAAGAGATCACAGAGAAGATAGTCACTGAAATTGCTGGGGTAAGCTTTGCTTTACAGTTCTTCCTGTAATTAGTCTGAAAAGCACTTCTGTAGTTAAGTGTACTTACTGACTGTATCTACCTTTGCTCAAAGTTTGATTGAAAAGTTGTTTAATGCCTATTAGTATTGCAGTATGATACCCATACACCATCCACCAGAATTTTAAAGACTGCCTGACTCTGTACACTTACTGCATAACAAGTTTCTAGCAACTTATCATCTAAGTCAAGGAAAACTGTAAAATGGACTTGTAAGTGAAGTAAATATTCTTCCCATGAATGCACAATGTATTGCCTTTGTGGGACAGTAGACTAGAATGTCTTTTGGCACTTCTGTATATATATATGCATGTGTCTGTAAGTGTAGATCATTGCAAAATAGGGTTTGGAGACACCACAGGGGAATAACTTTCAGTAGCAGCTCATTTTCACCTTAACGTTCACAGTGCCAGTGTCTTTTCAGGGATGTGTGTAGATTCTTGCTTTTTAAGAAAACAGGAGTGATTTCTTCTGGAATGACATAGATCATCCTGACAGGGACAGGAGGAACCTGAGAGGAAATGCATTTAGTAAAACGTTTGTGAAGGTGTTCCTATAGCAACAAAACACCCCCTAAAGCAAGAAATATGTGATTAGGCATTGAGGAGCTGAAAAATAAATGAGCTTTAATGATGGACACACTTTCCTTGAAGGTGCTACCATCAGAGCTAATTGTAAGGGTTGTGAGGTTTTCACTTTGATGGAACCAGAGGCAATTGCTGCTGTGCATGTTTTACAGAACAGTTTAAAATAATTTTCTCAGTGAACTCATTCAGTTTTGTGTATCTAGCTGTCGAAAAGCTGGATTTCACTTAAAGATCACTGTAAATGACAATTTCTAAGACATGTGGTGGAAGTTGACTGTAATGATAGGAAAGGGAAGCATGAAATTCCATTACTGAATAATGCTTGTTTAAACCAAAGGAACCCAACTTTGTCTTCATAAAGACTTCAGGTTTTTGGTTGTACATAACTTCTGTGACCCTGGAGTGACTTTAGTACAAAAGATTAATAAAGAAGCTTTGAAACCAAACTGTCCAGACACTCGGCTGCTAGGAATGACAATGGCTAGAGGGGGAGAATGTGGGCAGTGCTTCTCTGCTCAGAGATAAGTAATGGCATCTGTCGGCTTTTTTTCTTCTGATTTATTGACTGATCTTGTTGCATGAGGCTTTTTTGGTATGTCCCTGGTGTGTCACTGCGGGGGAAACTTGATTTGGTACAGAAAGCATTGGCTGATCTAAGTGTTGAAGTAGGTCCTCCACTGAGTCAGTGTCCTGAATTGGCAGTTGTGTGTTTGGATTTACCAAGGTGACTTTGACAATTCACTGTCATGATAGAGTTTTTATTTTAATACCACCAGTATAGGACAAATATTACAGCCTAGCTCTCACTCTTCAAATGTAGCGAGGCTGTCTCATATACTTGCTTGAAAGTAGTTGGGTGTGTAGAGGAAATGCTAAAAAAGCCTCCTGCATAAACAATTTGTCTGTTACTGTAAGCATCAACTTTAGATTTAAGTTCACAAAGTTGAAATTGAGAAATGTAACTTGTTACAGGTCATCCCTAGAGAAAGAACTGAAGAACTGCTCTCTGTCTGCCAGAGTGGCTCCTTTGAGAAACTGGAAACATTGGCAAAGGTAGAGTCCTCATGATGCTCCAGCCTTGGATGTTCTGGGGTTTGATTTTATTAAAAAAAGGTTTGGCCTTACAGATCTAGCAACTACCAGATGAAGAAAACACATCAAAGCAGGTGGCACTTGAAAATGTGAAAGCAGTGAAACTGCCACATGATGCTGTGGATGCTGAGCTTTCCTAATTTTAGATTGGACAGGTTCAGTGGAGGCTGTTAACTGCCTAAAATGTCTCTTGCTTACAAAATCCCTGAGATGTAAATTGTCAGAAGCTGGAAGAATATTTGGGCAAAATTGTTGTGCTTGTGCGGTCTTTCCTAGGTGCTCCCTTTGGGTCACCGTCAGGCAGGATGGACTGTATACAACTACCAAATTGTCCCAAAAATGTTCCCTAACAAATTGTGGTACAGTCCCTCAGTTCAGACTGAATTCTTCAGATTGTTTTTCCAGTTTGTGGTGTTTCTGCTGCTGAATTACTTCCATTTTCCTCCATCCCTGACACAGAATCTCATAAACGAAGGATATGCTGTTGCTCAGCTTGTAAACCAGCTGCACGATGCTGTTGTTGAAAGCGAAGATTACAGTGACAAGCAGAAATCTGTCATAGCTGAGAAACTCGCGGTAAGTCTGTAGCTTCACTTAAAAACAAAACACATTCATCTCTACTGATTAATTTTTGTTTACACAGTCCCCTAAGAAGTACACATAATTACATATTTGATTTTTAGTCCTGAGTATTTCTTGGTAGAAGCTGAATTTTTGTCCTGTCATGAGAAGGAACTGAAATCCAGTCAAGTGAATTAGAAGCTGTATTATATTGTTCTAAAGGTGCTCAAGCAAAGGCTTTGTGGGGGTTTCTTTTGTTTGTTCTTAATATTAATCAGGAGGAAAAACTAAGGCAGGATTTTAAGTCAGCACTTAAATTTAGAACTGCACTCCTACCTGTCACATCTTGGCCTCCTCAGGAACATAGAGGCTAGAGAAGTTTTTCCCAGTTCAGTATTACAGGATGTGATGTGTGACTGCTGCAGAAGTCATTGCCAATTCAGTGAACGGTTGGCAAACTTCACCTTGGTGTTCTCTGCTGTACCTGAGCCAGCTGGCTTGAGCACCACCACCATTTTAAAAGGGTTCCACCTTCTCTTTTTGCAGGAAGTGGACAAATGCTTGGCAGATGGTGCTGATGAATTCTTGCAGTTGATGAGTCTGTGTGCTCTTGTGATGCAGCAACTGACACACAACATCTAACTCCAGCAGTGACTGGCAGCAGAGGAGAGCAGCATTGTTTCATGGGTGGCTGGGGTTCTGAGAGTGGGGACCTGGGTACTTTTGTATTTTTTTGCAATAAAAGGACTGCTCAGCAGTTGGAAAAACTCATGCTAGAGTATTTGACTTTTTTTTTTTACACTAAGATCTCTGTAGTAGTGCTCCTGCTTTGCAGTTTTGTTGTAGACTTACACAGGGAAAGGTAAATGCATCAGAAATAAGTCTGTACATATGATAGAGACACCATCAGCTGGAAGCTTAGCACACTTTTCCTTTCTGGCCATGTTTCTTGGTTTTGAAAGCACTGACTTTGCAAAATGATCACACCTATTAAATACAAGGCTTCCAAAGGAGCTCAGCTCCTGATGGAGCATGTGCCATGTTACCTCCATCCTCTACCAGGCCCTTTAACTAGAAAGTGATTTAATACTTTAGCATTAAGTTCTGCTTAACATTACTTTGTTCAAGTTAAGACCAAGAGTGGGGTGAAAGGTCAGAGCATGTTCTGAAGACATGGCTTAGATTTTCCTGAGCTGTCTCATTCCATTGTCACAATTTCCAAAGCTGTTGCCTGTGTGAAGAACACAGCTCCCAGGGAAGATTTAGCACCTGTGGTGTACTCGTGGACTCACAGGTCTGTCCTGTGAAAGCTGAATTCCCTGTACTGCTCCACCTCCTTGAACACAAACTGATGCAGGCAGCAGGCCTTTTAATACTGACTTAAATCATGAGCCCTTTTCTACTCTGATGAAAGGGTATTTCAGTGTTATGAACACATCACTTACCCAGTATAGCCCCTGTAGTTACTAATGAAGCTGAGAATCACCCAGCAGCCCAGTAACTGAAAAAAAACCACAGCTCAAGACAAAGCAGCCAACACTTTCACCCTCCACAGTTACCAAGAGCTCTTTTTCCCCTGCAAACAAGACCCTCTCTGACCAAGAAGCAACTATTTACAATTTAAGTGAATATAGAATTATTTTATTGAACATTCAAACTTCATTAAGACATGTGCAATATGGCAAATTTTACTGGGTTTAACCCTAACTAAGACAATAGTATGATTGCTTGCTTGCTGGGGCTTAGCAACAGGGTCCAGATCACACTTACCACTAATTAAATATTTTATTGAATAAATACATATGAAACAAAAATGCATTTTAATGCTCTTATAAAAGTTTAGATTTTGAAAGGCCTTTCCAATTCAATCTCAAGTGTAAGTACATACAATAAAGGAAGATAGGCTAGTTTAACATAATTGGCTGACTTTATACAGCACTTATATCTTTTAGTCCATAAGTAAATTATTAAATGATAAAGAACATCTAATACAACCACTTCTATGGAACTAGGAAATAAATTTCTAATAAAGAAAAAATTTACAGACCCCATGACTTTCCACCCAACCCCAACAGTCTAACCCTAAAGTGGATAAAGCCAATGGCTTTCCCCACAAGAGCTCACGACAGAAAGTCGCTTCGCTTATCAAAAATCTGTATTTCTGATCCGTTATGAGCATTGAGACAAGATTCAATATATCCCCAAAGAAAGAAGCACAATGCACGTAGTGAATCGCCTATCAGCAACAGCGACCACTGCATTCAAAACCACCTCATCCCAGGGATTAAATGAGATCAGCCACATTCATTGGCATCTCCTCCACTGTAGTATTGTAGAAAGTCTCAATGTCTCGCAGGATCCTCTTGTCCTCTTCAGTGACAAAATTTATAGCCACACCTTTTCTGCCAAAACGACCACCCCGGCCAATCCTGCACAAAAAGAGAACACATTTACACATGTGGTTAACTACTCTCTAGTCTGCTTCCATGAACAGATCTTGCAAACGTTTAACTGCTGCTCTCATCTGCCACTGGCCAGTTTATGCTGTATTTATGGGACTGGCTGCTACCAAAGCCATGTCTGGTCAGGAAAAACCAGCAGTTAGTGCCAGCAGTACAGGAGTGTCCATCCTATGGAGAGCAGCAGAGCAGAAAAGGCTGCAAAGTAAGACCTTCATTTAACAGTTGATGCTGTGGTGTCAAGTCCCAACTCCACCTCCCTCTCCTCTGTTCAGCCAGACCCACACCACATGCATCCAGTCCCAAGCATAAGGCACACAAGATATAAACTGCTGTTCAAAGACTGGACTGTTCTTAGTTATTCCAATTCTATCCAGTAACATGGAACAGCACTATAGACTTGAGAACTTTTAATTCCAAGCAACTATGTCCAGTGGGAAAACTTAGAGAGGGTTGTTGGTTTTTTAATTTTTTTTAATTTTTTTTAATTCAACAGAAAATTCAAGCTTAAGGTTTTTGTGTAAGCCCAAGCCAGTCATCACTAACATCAGGGTAGTTTAGTTACGCCCACCATCAGTTCTATCTCCCTGCAGACTAAACAAAGCATGGAGTCAACAGGAGCTAAATACACAAAATGGCTCACAGAACTTAGTGAATAATGATGACAAAAAAATATATAAATATATAAATACCAACTCGCTCTTTATTCAAACTGTGCCGCTTATGAATCCACGTCCTAAATTACGTCAACGCCGTTTCTGAGCACCATCCTGTGTCATCAACTGCTGCTATCGACTCCTGTATTATTTTACATCAAGTAACAAAGCACAGTTTACTTAATTTAGGGACAGTCACTGGAAGCACTTAACTAAACCTAGGGAAACACAACTTAAGGTTGCTACCAGAAGACACACGCCACAGAGAAAAGAATCCCACTGCAAGAAGAGCCACCAAGAGCAAACCAGGCACACAGAACATGAACACAGTTGCACCTCCAGGAATGCAGGCAGTCCTGTACAGGTAGTTTGCTACTAATATTAAGGTCTGGTCACTGAATAGCAGCAGCTGGAGATTAGCTAGGACCTACAAGATCTGAGCTCACACTGCTCTCAAGACCTATGCCAGTACTGGCTTTTGTCATCATA